TCAACCTGCAACATTCAGTGGCGTCTAACTCTGGCACTTACATCTTTGTCTTGTCACCCAGGAAGGGCGGGAGCTGACTCTTGAAAAGCCAGAACTCAAAGTCCTAGTGTCAGAGAAGCTGGAAGACCTGCACAGGCGCTGGGATGAGCTGGAGACTACCACTCAAGCCAAGGCCCGCAGCCTTTTTGATGCTAACCGGGCAGAGCTATTTGCCCAAAGCTGTTCTGCTCTGGAGAGCTGGCTGGAGAGCCTGCAGGCCCAGCTGCACTCAGATGACTATGGCAAGGACCTCACCAGCGTCAACATTCTACTAAAGAAGCAACAGGTATGCAAGGGACCTTTGGGGAGAGTGAATAGGATAATTGAAGGGGGTACCTAGCTCTTGAAATTCAGGAGGCCTTGTAGATGACAGCTTTTAGCATTTCTGACAATGATTTCAATTAAAGACTATATCACAGTCTACAGGGCTGTGTATCAGTCAGGGAAAAGTCAGGAGACAGGCCACATTGATAACTTGGACAGGGAAACTTTATTTTAAAAAAGTAAACGGGTGTTATTACTTAAGGTGTTATCTCAGTCTGTTTTCTATTCCTACAATAAAATACCTTAGATGGGATGATTTGTTTATTTTTTAAAGTTGATTTTGGCTTGCAGGGCATAGCATCAGTATCTGCTCAGTTTCTGATGAGAGTCTTGCACTGTGTCATAAGTTGGTGGAAGAACAGGATGGAAATTAGCTTGTGTGAAAGAGATGAAACACAAGAGGCAGCCTCACTTTACAACCTGCTCTTGTAACTAATCTAGTCCCACGGGAACTACATAAATTCCTTTAATGGCCTACTCACCTCTTAAAGGCCCCTCTGCTGTCTGTTAACACTCTATCTTGAGGACGAGATTCCAGCTTAAGTTTTAGAGGAAACAAATCACATCTAAGCTGAATTAAGTCTTAAAGAAATCTACAGCAGGTGTCAGAAGATCTTTTCTCTGTAAAGAGACAGTAGGGCCAGCAATGGCTCTGTGGGTAAAAATGCTTATCATCAAGCCTGACTATTTGAGTTCAATCCCTAGAACCTACATGGTAGAAGGAAAGAAACTTCTCCACAAATAAACAAAATGTAAAACAACAACAAAACACAAACAACATTTTCATCATAGCCAAAAGATATTTTGCATTTTGTAGGTCATATGATCTCTATCACAGCAATTCAGCTTTATCATGTAAAAGAAAAAAAAATCCATACACACAATACATAGAGGAATGGAGCTGTGCTCCAGTACACTTTATTTGCTTAGTAGGCTATATTTGCTGATTTCCTGATCCTAAGAATCCTGGAATAGTAAGTCTAGAACTCTAGACTTGGAGGCGAAAGGGCTACCAGATACCTTGTTCTCTGTTGGACAGTTTTGAAGCCCAAGGGAAAAGCAAATTATGCTTCCTCCAGTGCAGTGTGCTATGCCTCTAGCACCCTCTTCTGACATGGCTGGCATTGTACCAGTTGGCAAAAGAGAGGGGAGAGAGAGAAGAGAGAGAGAGAGAGAGAGAGAGAGAGAGAGAGAGAGAGAATGCACTGGCCTAGTTTCAAAGTAAGGCAGAAGTGGATTTGGGACTCAAAGACAATGAATTCATAATATGTGTAGTTGTTACACGAACCTGAAATTCGTGTGTGTGTGTGTGTGTGTGTGTGTGTGTGTGTGTGTGTGTATGTGTGTGTCTGGAACCCATATATATTATTAATACATATTTAATATATACCATATAGTGTTAATACATATATTATGCATTTTAAATATTTAGTATATATTTAATATATATTAAAGTTTGGGACTGACCTATCCCTGGGAGATCAGGAATCATGACTGACTTGATACAGGCTATGCCTTCTAAGTTTAAAGGTGACACTGACATCTCTTTTCTCTTCTGTGCTTGTAGATGCTGGAAAGAGAGATGGCTGTGAGAGAGAAGGAGGTGGAGGCGATCCAGGCCCAGGCAAAGGCCTTGGCCCAGGAAGACCAGAGTGCAGGGGAGGTAGAAAGGACCTCAAGGGCTGTGGAGGAGAAGTTCAGGGCCCTTTGCCAACCCATGAAGGAACGCTGCCAGCGCCTGCAAGCCTCCCGAGAGCAGCACCAGTTCCACCGGGATGTGGAAGATGAGATAGTGAGTCACCAGGCTGGGCATGGAATGGCAAGCTACTCACAGCCATGTGACTCTCTAGCCTCTTTCTGGGCACTGGGGTGATGTCCATATTATCCGGTCCCTCTTATATGTTGAGAGTATCCCCTCCAAGAATGTTCATGGGTGCTTTGCAAGACCCTCTACCCTAGAATGAGATGGCTGCTCCCTACATACACAACTATAGCCCTAGGTCTTTGCACCTCTATTAACTTTTTCTTTCTCTCCAGTTGTGGGTGACTGAGCGGCTACCCATGGCCAGCTCTATGGAACATGGTAAGGACTTGCCCAGCGTCCAGCTTCTCATGAAGAAAAACCAGGTGAGGCAGAGGGCAAGGGTAAAAACCAAGTTCCCAAGAGCCTCTTCAGAGCTTTGTTTTCTTTTTGGGGGGTGATGATGAGAGGTGGAAGATGGGTGCTGTTGTTTTGAGACAAGGTCTTACTATGTATCCTTGGCTGGCCTGAAACTCACAGAGATCCAAGTGTGTCTACTGGGATTAAAGGTGTTATGTATGCTGCCATGTCCAGCTTCTTTGGTTTCTCCAATGATAGGGTTTCTATGGCATTATTTCTATGGCTATTTAACTTTCCCTAGCTCAGGAAGGTGGCCTCTGTTGGTAGGAAAGCATGAGGATTGAAGGGATATCACACTTTGCCCTAAGCCTGAAAAAAAAAAGAGTCTGCAAGAGGATTTAGGAAGGACAAGAATGTAGGGAAAACCCCAGGTGGAATAGGTCTAAGGGGATATAGGCTTGGGGCTCCTTTTGCAAGTCTTTCAGTGTATCTTTTGTGGCTGGGACAGACCCTGCAGAAGGAGATCCAGGGCCATGAGCCCCGAATTGCAGACCTCAAAGACAGGCAGCGTGCTCTGGGAGCAGCAGCAGCAGGTCCAGAACTGGCTGAGCTCCAGGAAATGTGGAAACACCTGAGCCATGAGCTAGAGCTTCGGGGTAAGCGACTGGAGGAAGCCCTTCGAGCCCAGCAATTCTATCGTGATGCTGCAGAGGCCGAGGCTTGGATGGGTGAGCAGGAGTTACACATGATGGGCCAGGAGAAAGCCAAGGTGAGAGCCAGAGCAATGGCTGTTTGTGTGACCAGTTCTTGCTGCCCTGGCCCCTGCTGTCTGATGTCCCCTTTTCCCTCTCCCAGGACGAGCTGAGTGCCCAGGCAGAAGTGAAGAAGCATCAGGTATTGGAACAGGCCCTTGCTGACTATGCCCAGACCATCAAACAACTAGCAGCCAGCAGCCAAGATATGATTGACCACGACCACCCAGAGAGGTGAGTGTGTGAGTATCAGAGAACCGACACTGGTGGAGAGGAGGGCTAGTTCAGGAAAAGTATAGCAATTGTGGTATCTTTTGAACCATGTGCATAGAGAACAGACTAGAAAGTTGGGAGAAGCAAGGGACTTGGCAAGCAGTTAGGGACTAAGAGACAAAGCTCTATGAAACAAGCCATTCTCCCTACCCATGCAGCACAAGGCTAACAATCCGCCAAGCCCAGGTGGACAAGTTGTACGCCAGCCTGAAGGAGCTGGCAGGAGAACGGCGTGAGCGCCTGCAGGAGCACCTCCGGCTGTGCCAGCTCCGCAGAGAACTTGATGACCTGGAACAGTGGATACAGGAGCGTGAAGTTGTGGCAGCCTCCCATGAGCTGGGCCAGGACTATGAGCATGTGACTGTGAGTCCCACACAGATTAGCACTGGGAAGGATCAGGGCCCACAGGGAGACCAAAGCCTTGGCCCAGGCAGAGTGCTGAGGGTGGACACAGCCAGACAGAGAAGGCATTGTTCTGGTGGGTTTCAGGTTATATAACGAGCAGTTGTGCAGAAAGAGAGGTGTAGGGGTGACCATAAGTGAGGATAAAAATGAAATTGCTACTCTTTTCCAACAGACCACAACAAAACAGGGTGAGCTTCAGATTCTTTGCTGTGGTTGGAGATTTGGGCCCCCTGGTACAGAAATCCAGACCATAGTTCGGATGTCCTTGTTAAGGACTAAAAGTTCAAAGTGCCTCTAGGTGCCTTTAGGATATCAGGTGATATATAGAACTGTGCTATTATGTCACCCTAGCCATCTTAGTTCACATGTGTACCCTGGTGAAATTCCCAGTAATGCATTTCTCAGGATGTGTTCTCGCTGATAAGCAACATACAAGTGTAAATTTAAAGCTGCCACACCAGCTCATTGACCAGTGGGCTGTCAGTTTTGAGGAGAGAAATGACTGCTCCATGAAGCAGGGACCTCACACACTAGGTCTCATCCCTGTCTCTACAAATGCTTCCTCCATCAGATGCTCCGGGACAAATTCCGAGAGTTCTCCCGGGACACCAGCACCATTGGCCAGGAGCGCGTAGACAGTGCCAATGCACTGGCCAATGGGCTCATTTCTGGGGGCCATGCTGCACGGGCCACTGTGGCTGAGTGGAAGGACAGTCTCAACGAGGCCTGGGCTGACCTGCTGGAGCTGCTGGACACAAGAGGTCAGGTGCTGGCGGCTGCTTATGAGCTGCAGCGTTTCCTGCATGGGGCCCGCCAAGCCCTGGCTCGGGTACAGCACAAGCAGCAGCAGCTTCCAGATGGGACTGGCCGCGACCTCAATGCTGCTGAGGCTCTGCAGCGCCGGCACTGTGCCTACGAGCATGACATCCAAGCCCTCAGCACCCAGGTCTGACCCTAGCTGAGCAGGTGGGGATGGGAAAGCTGAGAGGAAACTGGGGGGGGGGTTGTTGTGTGGTAGGGAAGATCTGTGAGGGGCTGGGAAGATGGCACCCGTGGAGGGGCATGTAGAGATAAGGTTAAAAATCACTCCAGGAATGGACATCAGCTACTACATTCAGGCTTGCTTTATAACATGCGCGCATGCACATGCGTCAGAGAACACGTACTTTGATGTATGTATGGAGGTCAGGGGACGACTTTGATTCTATTCTTGGACTTTAGGTTCTGGTCATCAGGCTTGGGCAAGTGCTTTTGACACCTTGAGGCATCTCACTGGCCCAGTTCACATTTGTAATGAAGACCCATGACTTTTTCCAGTGGTCCCAATGGCTGCAAGATTCTTCATGCCCAAATCCACCTGTTGATGACACTCAGGCCAGAATTCTGGATTTATGAGATTAACACAGATCATTCCTTCAACCCCATGTGACCAGTCAGCCCCCAACCCAAATTGACTCTGCAGGCTGCCCCTTTCCTTTTTTTTTTTTTTTTTTTTTTTTTTTTTTTTCAATGTCCTAGCCTATCCTACCCTGGGTAGGATAGCTCAACTTGATTTTAGAGCCCTATTCCCAGATGAGGTCCAGTAGGACAGAGGGTGGTAGGTAGGGCTCTGAACCTTGGTTCTTCCTACCACCTTTTTGGCTGGTGAATCAAACAGGAGGTAAAAAGCAGTGCAGGGACAAGAGAAGCTTCAGCTCCTCTGTCTCCCAGCTCTGCCTGACTCAGACCTGGGTACCCACAGGTCCAGCAGGTTCAGGACGATGGCCATAGGCTACAGAAGGCCTATGCTGGAGATAAGGCTGAGGAGATTGGCCGTCACATGCAGGCAGTAGCTGAGGCCTGGGCCCAGCTCCAAGGAAGTTCTGCTGCCCGTCGTCAGCTGTTACTGGACACCACGGACAAATTCCGGTTCTTCAAGGCTGTCCGGGAATTGATGCTTTGGATGGACGGGATTAACCTGCAGATGGATGCCCAGGAGCGGCCCCGGTGAGACCCACAGTGCCTGGCACACTCCACAGGGTATGTGATACTACTGGTGGCTGTGGTGGAGCTGTGGCAGCTGCTGATACCATCTTTGTATCGGCCTAGGGATGTATCCTCTGCAGATTTAGTCATCAAGAATCAACAAGGCATCAAAGCAGAGATAGAGGCCAGAGCAGACCGGTTCTCCTCTTGCATTGACATGGGGCAGGAGCTGCTGGCCCGGAGCCACTATGCTGCTGAGGAGGTGGGTGAGACTTGGAGAGAACCTGACTGGCCACACTGAACATGGATTATTCCTGAAATTTCTCTTTCTGTTCCTTTTGTTTGTTCGGTTGGTTTTTGGGTTTGTTTGTTTGTTTTTGTTTGTTTTGTTTTGTTTTTGTTTTGTTTCTTGAGATGGTCTCAACCATGTAGCTCAGGCTGGCAACAATTCTCTTGGTGTGTCCTTCCAAGTACTGGGATACAGGTGTGCACCATCATGCCCAGCTTTGATTTTTTTTTTTTTCCTGTCTTCTTGTCATTCTTTCTTAGCAAGAATTCTTTCACTGTCCTCTCAATGTTACCCAGGCATTTCTACCCATAGAACTATTTTTCTCTCCTCTTGACATTATAAATCATTGCTATACTTCAGTGGAAAGGCCCCATTAGGCCCTAAGTCAGGCCTCCTTACCTTACCCCCAGATCTCAGAGAAGCTGTCTCAGCTACAGTCCCGGCGCCAGGAGACAGCTGACAAATGGCAGGAGAAGATGGACTGGCTGCAGCTTGGTGAGCCACTGTGGGAGTGTCAGCAAGAGGGAGGGGTCTTGTGAGAAAGGCCTGGGTATTGTCTATCTGTGGTGGCCACAGTGCATGAACCCAAGAACCCTGGATATGGAATTCCAGGATACTATACTTGGTACTTCCTGACAGTACTCTGGGACAATGATGTTCTCTGTCCCTGTACTTGAGGTTGCCATTGCTACCATGCCCTGCCATTTCATACTCTAATTTTCCATCTCTCTATGACATCCCCCCTACCATGGCAGTTTTGGAGGTGCTTGTGTTTGGGAGAGATGCAGGGATGGCGGAGGCCTGGCTATGCAGCCAGGAGCCATTAGTACGGAGTGCAGAGCTGGGTTGCACCGTGGATGAAGTAGAGAGCCTCATCAAGCGGCATGAAGCCTTCCAGAAGTCAGCAGTGGCCTGGGAGGAGCGTTTCAGTGCACTGGAGAAGCTCACTGCGGTGAGGACTGTGGGACCTCAGAGGTGGCCAGCCCCACTGCAGCCCCAGCCCTGTTTTCATTACTGTTCAGGAGACATTTCTTCTCTTCCCACTGCACTGCTTCTCTGAGTGTGAGAGGAGAGTGCTCTTCTATTACATGACCAGATGCCAGTTAACCTGGGTGCTACTGAGATCACTCTGCTTCTTGCCCTGCCTTCTTTTAGATTTTCTTCTCCATCTTTCCTATTTTATTGGGCAAGAGCTGAGACACTTCAGCTTTTCTCTTCACCATGATACTTGCTGATCTCAGCATTTCTTGACAGCTGGAAGAGCGGGAGAAGGAGCGGAAGAGAAAGAGGGAGGAGGAGGAACGGAGAAAACAGCCCTCTACTCCAGAGCCAATGGCTAGCCGGCCCGAAGGGAGTCTGATAGATGGCCAGAAAGCTCCAGACACTGCCTGGGATGGGTAAGAGCTAGACACCTGGGCCAGGAGGCTGAGGCTGGGCCTAAGCAAGCCACAGATAATTATTCTGTGTCACATTTGGTCATTCTAGATCCCAGTCACAGTTGCCACCATCCACACAAGCTCCCAGTATTAATGGGGTCTGCACAGATACAGAGTCTTCACAGGTAATTTAATGTCTGTAAATATCCCTTTTGACCCTGCCAGCCGCCACGTCCTCACAGCTTCTTATCTTTGCAGCCCCTGTTTGAACAGCAAAGACTTGAACAGAGCAGTGTCCCAGAAGGGCCTGTAAGTCTCTCTGGAGGGGTGGATGTTGGTACCTGGGAGATGAAGAGACAAAAGAGTGGGTAGGGATCGTGGGTATGAAGCTCAAGCTTGGGCTGAAAGACCAGCTCTTGGCCATAGAACTTCCTGACTCCAAGGCAAGGTACCATCCATATCACCTATTAGCAATGACATTGCTTTCCCCCCACAGGGATCTGGCACAGGGGATGAGTCCAATGGGCCCCGGGGAGAGAGGCAGACACGGCCCCGGGGCCCTGCCCCCTCTCCAATGCCCCAGAGCAGATCATCTGAATCAGCCCATGTTGCCACCTTGCCCACACGAGGCCCTGAGCTCTCTGCTCAGGAACAGATGGAAGGGATGCTGTGCCGCAAACAGGAGATGGAGGCCTTCAACAAGAAAGCTGCCAACAGGTATCAGGTCTGGCTGTGCAGAACCTGTAGCCTCTTAGGTTCTTGCTTTTGAGGCATTTTCTGGAAACTTCCTAGACAGAGAGGGAAGCACTTTATTAGGAGTTTGTCCTTTGAGAAAGGGCTGGAACTCAGGACTCTCACAGGCTCAGAGGAGGGTCACAAGTGGCCTAAAGACTGTATGTGGAACTTAGATGTTACAGGTCCCACAAAGCCTCCACTCCACCTGTCTACCTACCTGACCCTACCATGTCTCCCCCAGGTCCTGGCAAAATGTGTACTGTGTACTTCGGCGTGGGAGCCTCGGCTTTTACAAGGATGCCAGGGCGGCTAGTGCAGGAGTGCCATACCATGGAGAAGTGCCTGTCAGTCTGGCCAGGGCCCAGGGCAGTGTGGCCTTCGACTATCGAAAACGCAAACATGTCTTCAAGCTGGGGTAGGAACCAGGACTGCTTTCAGGTTGGGATGGAAGGAGTCAGAAATCAGGCAAGGTGGATGGACTTGCCTGAAGAGAGCACATGAATGGTGCTGCTCTGCTAGGTACATTTGTAGGTGGAAGAGTGGAGATTCTGGGTCCTGAATCATAGTAGAATGGAGGAACTAAACATAGGCTGAAAGTTATCTTGGATAGGAAATGTGAGGGCAGGATACTAGCTCACTCTAGCTGTCAGGGGACTTCCCACTGCCAGCAAGAGCCTGCATTGCCTTGGATGGAAATGAGCTTAATATTGCACATCTACAAAATCCTGAAACTTTGAAGAATGTGTAAAACGTGATCTGGCCTTGGGGGCTGTGCTCTCTCTCCCAGTCAGTCCAGTCCTGGGAGAATAGTGAGCTCACAGAAGCACTGATATGCCAAGTAAAGGTTCTTAGCTCTGCCCTGTGCCTTCTCTCCCAACAGCTTACAGGATGGCAAAGAATACTTATTCCAAGCCAAGGATGAGGTGAGCCTTCCCCTGTCCTGCTGTGCTCTCTCTCTCTCTCTCTCTCTCTCTCTCTCTCTCTCTCTCTCTCTCTCTGTCTCTCTCCCTCTCCCTCTCCCTCTCCCTCTCTCTCCCTCCCTCCCTGCCAGCATTTTGTTTTATGAGAGAGGGTCTCACTGTATATGCTTGGTTCCTGTTCCAGAGTGACCTCAAACTCATAGCAACCCTCCTAGCTCAGCCTCCTGAGTCTGGGTTCACAGAGTTCACAGCCCCACCATGGCCAGCTGAAGCTCCCTATCCTAAAGGGGGCCTTTTTCTTCTTCTAAAAAAAATCATTATCTTTCTACTTACTCCTATCATACTTTCCTTCTGTATGTGGCCTCCAGTCAAAGTCTTTGAGTGTGAGTTGATGTCTCCCTGTCCCTTACAGGCAGAGATGAGCTCATGGCTGAGAGTGGTGAATGCAGCCATTGCCACTGCATCCTCTGCCTCTGGGGAGCCAGAAGAGCCAGTGGTGCCTAGTGCCAGCCGAGGTCTGACCCGGGCCATGACCATGCCCCCAGTGTCACAGCCTGAGGGCTCCATTGTGCTTCGCAGCAAGGATGGCAGAGAAAGAGAGCGAGAAAAACGATTCAGCTTCTTTAAGAAGAACAAGTAGTTGGGGGCAAGATTCCCAGGTCAGCTCCCTCCCTCTGTTCAGGAAACTGCCAGGGACTACCAACAGAGACCACCCTCTTGTCAGGACAACTGCCTGCTGCTAGGGTCTGCTGCTAAGGTCAGCCCATCACCAACAACTGTCACTGGGGGCAAACAAGTGTTCCCACAAACAACCTTCTCTTCTGCTATTTAATTCAACTGGTGGTGGGACCCAGGCAACCCTTAATATCACTCTTCCCCACCTTGTCACCTCTTCCCAAGCCTATGCCTCCACCCCCACCATGGTGCAGATAGTGTCACCCTCAACATGGGCTATGTGGGAACCACTGTCCCTGCCTCAGGGTCTTTGTGCCACCACAGCCAGGGTGTGCAGTCCACCATTCAGTTCTTTGCCTCTGGGATCAGCCAGGACCCTCTCAAAGCTGAAGCAGGAGCACCAGATGATGGAGTCGGGGACACTGAAGCCTTCCCTGCCCATCCTGCCTCACCCTCTGACTCATGTGGCTGCTCCCCCAGCCACTCGAGGTGGCTTCCGAGTGTGAGTTGTTCAGGAGTAGCCACATCCTTGAGTCTACCCAAGGAGGTGATTAAACAGCTCAGCTTCTCTCACTGCCTCGTGGTGTTGTTGCTTTCCTGACCATAGCCTCTCTGGTTCTGGTCTCCTTTGTGCCAGACATCCACTCTACCCCCCACCTTTTGAGCCTCAAAGAAATGTGCGAACCTGAGAGCTTCCCTGTCTAAGTCTCCACATGACAGTGATCTGTTTCACCAGTTTGACCTATGCTAAACCTCTGTTTAGACCAAAGACATTCACTGTGCTTTGGGTTGATGTTAATTAACAATATTCATGTTAAAAAGATAGTAAGTCACTCTCCCTGATGCACACTTTTCTTTTTACTTTAAAAAAGTTGTTTAATTTCTTGCAGTGCTGGGGATGGAACTGCCTCGTGCATGCTAGGCAAACACTCTAACACTGAACTACACTCCTAGCCCCTACACTATTCCTCACTCTGAAGTCTCTCAATTGTTTTCAGTAAGGAGTGGTGAGGACTGTTACTACAACCTATTCTCAGCTACTGCTGAGTCAGCAGTGGAAAGGTGAGCACCCTACTTTCTGTCTTTCCCATAGAATCAAGGGAGCTCACACAGAATCACAAGAGTGGCAGGTTCCCACCTCCTGAACTCTAGAAGGCTGTCACCCTAGGAATCCAAAAGGTACATCCTGAGCATGTAAATAAACACACAATATATTCTAGAGATGGAAAGAAGTATTTTTTCTTAAAGTTTGCAGTATTGACAAAGGAGGTATTAAAGTTGGAAGTTGTGGGTCTGTTTGAGAAAACTAGCCTGTCTTCCGCATAACTGGCCAAGGGCCCCAAGCAGCCCTGACTGACTACTGTCCGTCAAAACAATGACAGGTAGAGTCAGGTGTATGCAGGCTAGGGACTAGCATCACACAGCCCCAGAATGGCCTCCATCCGTCACATGTGGCATAGCAGATCATTCACAGGGTAATGGTACCCCGCAGTGAATATACATATGTACAATGTGGTAACAGCCCATCCACAGACACAACAATCATCAGTAGGTCTCAGATTCCTTTTCTCATAATTCAAGCACAGCTGTGAAACTTCCCCTGTTAGACATGGGAGAGTCCTTGTGGAGGGCTCGGAGTATGTGGCTTGGGGAAGAACAATAATTGAAAAGTTTAGAAGCAAATGTAGTATGTGTGAGAGAGATTAACGGAGAAATAATTACCTTGATCTACAAGTAGTGCCACCAACTGATGTGTGCAGAAAAGTCATTGTGAATAAAAAGGAAAGACAGGAATTAGGTTAGAATCATCTGTCTACACACATGACAGCTGAAGCTACTTCATGGTATGATTCCATAAGGGCAGAATGGAGGCGAGGATAAGCATAGGGCTAGGAAGCAAGTCTTTAGGATGTTGGTGGAAGAGAGAACAGATGGTAGACAGAATGGGGCTCTAAGGGAAACGAAAAGGGCTAGAGCACAAAGACTGCAGCAGTGTTGACCCTGTGTACTGGTGGGACACAGGGACAAACAGAAATGGATAGGCTATATAGGAGTGAACTAGTTTGAATTTTTATGAACACCACTGACAAGGGCGGATTTAACTTGTGTTGACCCACATGGCTGGCCACATGGGACTACAGAGTACCGAAAGTGTAGCAAACCTAAACTTTGATGTGCTGAAGGTATGAAATGACATATTTCCAGGACTTTAGGGGGAAATTTAATATCTCAATTTTTATATTGAATACATGTTGAAATGTCAAAATTATTAAAATAGATTTCAAATTTTTATATTTTGATGTTTACTGGAAATTTGTATTTAATTTATTTACTGTGGTGCTAGGTATAAAACCCAGGGACTTGTGCATGCTAGATAAATGCTTTACCATTGAGTTGCACCCACAGGCCTTTTTCCCAGTTCATCTTCAATAATTAATATGGTTCATTATATCTCCATTGGCTAGCACTCAAAATGGACCACAAACCTAAAAGTGGAAGGTATTGGGAATGGAAGAGAACACAATAATTAATTTGGCTACATAAAAAAGATTTAGATCCTGTCTCAAAAAGCAAAACAAAATTTACTTTCAGAGACAAAGATATTAGTGAAAAGACAAGATAGTTGAAACCAATAAGAAATATCTACCATATGCAGGAAAATCTTACAGCTCAACACAAAGTCTGCAACCTGAAATATAGGCAAAAGATAGGGGCAGGAAATGAATATGAGCACACACTCCAAGACCTTAAGAACAAGAAGGTATTTTCAAAATCATTAGTCATGAATCAAAAAATCAAAGCAAGTTGGGGATAATACCTTACACCCCTTTGACAAAAATTAGGAAAGTGAATGTCAAACCTTGATAAAGATAGAAAAAACAGTGCCCCTTAGGTGTTGCAAGTAAGAGGATATGCTAGCAGAGCTTTTCTGGGGACTTTGGACACGTTAGTTTTATATACTCCTATGACCAAGCAACTCAGCAGTTTTACCCCTGGATATACACACACCCCCTCCCGAATTAGAGGACACACAGACTGCTATTCACAATCTAGTTTATGATGCTGAGGAACTGAGGCAATTCTAGCATCTTATCTCTAGAAAGGGAAGGTGAAATGCATGGGTGAAGCAAGGAATATCACAGAAATTAGACTTAACGCATCACACATAGAAGCAAGAAATAATTAGCTACACAGCATACTATTTACGTATTTATACAAATGTATGACGGGTGAACATTGTTTAGGTCCAGCAAAGAAGCCAACTATAAAAGAGAATTTGTGACAATCTAGGGGAAGTTTGACCATAAATATTAGATGATATTGACATAACACATCCGGTGGCAGTATAGTTCAGAGAAGGTCCGGGGCTTGGTCCTCAGTACTGTGATTAATAGTTACAGACTGTGAGGTACTTAGAGGCAAAATTACACTGTGTATAAAAGCCTAGGTAAAATGTTGAAGCTAGACAAAAGGTCCAGAGGAATTAATCACAAGTTTACCTTTGTGGGTTTGTTTTTGTTTTGTTTTGAAATTTTCCACAATGAAAAGTTAAATGAATTGAAAAAGTACATATATTAATAGGCTTGTCTCAGGCTGGAGAGATGGCTCATCAGTTCAAACAATTGCTGCTCTTGTAGAAGACCCAAAAGTGGTTCCCAACACTCACATTGTACATCTCACAAAATACCTATAACTCAAGCTCCAGGGGATCTGACACACTCTTCTGGCCTCTATGGGCACCTGCATACACAGAATACATTTACACAGACACAAACATACAGATGACTCTTTTTCTCAACAGGGTTTCTTTATGTACCCCTTTCTGTCCTGGAATTGCATAGACCAGGGTGGCCTCAAATTCAGAGATCCGCCTGCCTCTGCCTCTCATGTTCTGGGATCAAAAGCATGTGCCACCACCACCCAGATCACATATTTTTTTTCAATTTTAAAGAAAAGAAAAACCAGAGACTAGAAATGGTGGTGCACACCTGTAATTCCCAGCACTTGGGAGTCTCAGATAGGATTATGAGTTCAAGACTGTTCTGGGTTACACAGCCAGTTTCTTGTCAGCTCTGGCTAAATGGTAAGGCCATCTCAAAAAGAAAAAAAAATAGGGAGTGAAATGAAAATGTTAGAGAAAGATGGTATCTGTTACCAGAATATTGGTTGTGGAGACCTCAGGAAATTTGGGAAGAGGACGGTATAAGTGTTAACAGCTGCTTGGATGGAAAGGGATTCTGGCATTCAGGAGCCACAGAATACCACAGGTCACACTAAGCATAGCAGCTTACAACCCTGCTTTTGTGGAGTGTAACAATTCCACTTCCATAAGGGAAGATTTCCCTGGCAGAAAGTGTTACAGCCCTGCTCTACTTCACTCTCAGAGATGATCTCGCCCAGGATCATCTCTGCTCCAGCAAAAGGTCTTCACCCAAACCATTCAAGAGAGTTATTGGGAGGGAAGAATCCAGGAAAGCGGCTGCCTCTGCTAGAGAGGAAGAAGACAGCACAAACTGAACAGGCACAGGGTTTATATGGGGCTTCTTAGGGGCAGGGTTTTCCTGGGAGAAGATTTCCAGGGTGGGGACTGGTCAGCTTTCAATCCCTGAGCTCAGATTGGCTAGATCTTGTGCTCAGTAATTGGTTGGTTTTCTGCTCAGGTTCGGGGTCAAATTTGGCTCTGGTGTCAGGGACAAAGTGTTTCTCGTTCACAGGCCTTTTTTAACCTTTTGGTCTAGTTTTAGGGCCAGGGCATATTTCTTTCACTGGCTCCGATTATATATTATATAGGGACAAAGTGTGTTTCTTTGGCACTAGTTTCAGGGTCAGGGTGTATTTCTTTGGCTCTGGCTGCAGGGCCAAAGTGTGTTTTTTGGCTCTGCTCAGGGTGTGTTTCTTTGACTGACCCTTCCCTTACAGACAGAACCCAAAGTTGTGTGATAACAGACCCAGAGAGAATTCCAGGACAGCCAAGGCTACACAGTGAAACTCTGTTTCGAAAAACAAAACCAAAATTTTTAATTTTAAAAATATGTTTGTTGCCGGGAGGGTGGTGGTGCACACCTTTAGTCCCAGCACTCCAGTGGCAGAGGCAGGTGGATCTCTGTGAGTTCCGAGACCAGCCTGGTCTACAAGAGCTAGTTCCAGGACAGCCTCCAAAGCCACAGAGAAACCCTGTCTCGAAAAACAAACAAATAAATAAATAAATAAATAAATATGTGTCTGTTATTACAATTAGAAAGACAATGGCTTCTGAAATGAGTAGGAAACATGGATTTGGTGACAGAAATGTTTCCAAGTAGCTTGGGCAACTGATCTTTATAGTATTGGAGAAGCTGGTGTTGAAACTACCACAATGGAGAATGGTGTTTAACAATCATCCTAGTATCTCTACCAGGAAATAAACTCAACCCATCAATCTCTCTAAATGGCCCAAATACTCTTTGTTGAATGGGATAGTGAATAATCCACCTAGCTAGTACCCTTCTGCCACCAGGAGGTGCCCTTGGACCGCAGCTGAAAGTCAGGAGCCTGACAATTGCCTGTACCTCTGGCAGCTTGGACTGGATGTGGAGCCCCTTGTCACACTCACATCCCCAAACCGGGACTCTCTCTGGACTTCTACACCATTTTTTTTTGGGGGGGGGAGGGTGCTTACCACATTTCAGGAACCATGACAGGCAGATACACAACGAGAGAGGGAAAACCCAGCGCACGTATATTCATGAATAAACATGACAAAGTACAGTTTGGATAGAGAAATACCTTCCTCGTTCTAACCCAGCTCTGTCACAGATCACCTTTTCGTCCCTCGATTCTCAGTCTCTATTTTCTCGCCAATGAACACCACAATTGCAGCGAAAATTAAGTTGTTTTAAGGGAGTTGCTCGCTCCCTCCCATCCAAATAAGGGAGAGATTAGGTTAAGATGGGGTGCTTAGACTTCTGAAGTATCGCTCTCAGCCGCCACAGAGCTTGAGAAAACCCCCTTCTAGCGGGCCCAGTGAAACAACCCTTTGTCATCAGCCTCCCTCGACAGTGGGCTAATAGCACGATCCATTGTGATGGTTAGATACTCCCCCTGCGCTTACTGTTTTGCCAAGGCAGGGGTTGCTTCCAGAGATCTTTTGACGCGCAAGCCGCGACCCTCTCCCAAGGTGGTGATTGGCTATCCGGGGCTGGGGGCGGGCTGACCCCGCAGTGCCGTCACCACATGACCCCGCCCCCGCACGGGGGCGGCCATTTGTGTGCGGCCGCAGGATTGGTCGCCCCGCTCCTGCGAGGGGGAGGGGAGGCAGGCAGCGCGCACTCGCGCGTGCGTGAGCTGGCGCGCGAGAAAGCGCTCGGTCGCGCCGAG